TATGTACCTTTGGTGGGATTATTTTCACAAATGGTATTATTGCCCTCCCCCACAGCTTCATTCCCAGTTTAGCAAGTGATTTTCATTAGTGAAAATCCCAACTGCACCGCCCTTTGGAGTCTCTTTCTCCATCTCCCAACGTAGAATCTATGGGAAACCTGCATAAATGGACAGCAATCTCATCGACCTTTGTGTCAACTTCTAGAATTTCTTCTGTTTTAGGATTTGATTTTGTTAGGCCACGTGACAGAGGAACAGCGATGGCCCTAGTACCAGCCAGCCTAGCTTGTGGGTCATAGCAAGCACCGGCAGAGCCCACACTGAGGAAGGAACAAGGACATCAGTAAGAACACATCTTCCATGGACCTTACTGAAATGAAGGGCAGCTTTTCTTGTGGGTAGGCTTTGGCAGAGTTAAGCAACTGATCTTAATTCCTGCAAAAGTTGAGAAAGTTGTTGTACCTAGCCAATTAAATATGTTGAAGTGGGAAAAGTGTAGATATGCTTGCTGATGCTGCAAAAAGATGCATCTTGAATGAAATTTGGGTTTGGTTTTGAGAGGGGGAGTCCTGCTATTGTTTAAAAACCATTGTGAAACTTCTGGGCCGATGTGTGAAACTAACATTATCTGTGCATTATGCATGGTTCTTAGTTTGTCAGCTGAATTAGAAGAAAATGGTGAAATATCACTTCAACATTGCTTACTAGCAATGAATTTGGAAGCTGATGTGTCCATGTCATTCAGCATTAGGTGCTACTTCTTTTGTCTTAGTGACTACTCGTATTTTCTCCTCTCTGAACTGGCTATAATGATTTACCTGGCTTGGGATTCTTTAATTTTATTTCTTATTACTGTTTTTGAATGGGGCTTAGCATACTTCTGGACATTCATTTGAGCAGAATTATAATGCTGGAGATCCTGCAGCTTGAGAGAATGAGGAGTTCAGGAGCTTTCTTGTTTTCAGTAGTAAGAAGAGTGTCCATTATCTTTTTAAAATTGTCAAGAGGAATAAATAGATTTATGATCTATGCAAAAGTATCGTGCTGCTTTTTTTTCAAAAGCACTGGCATAAAAGCCAGTATATTTTTCTGTATCCTGGCATTTCAATATCCATCAATTAAAGCAAAAGAATTAACTGCCACTGGTTTCACTGGGAAGGAATAATGAAGATTACAAGAAGCCTTTTTAATTGATGCATTTTTAATGTTAGTCTGTAAAACAGACTTAAAGCCAAGAACTTTATGTGTAGGCAGAAAAATTATTTTCTTTACATCTTTGTTCTGAGAGGAATACAGTCTCAAATGAAAAGCTTAGCAAGCGGTGCTGTGCGAATCTTGGGTGGGGGAAGATGTTGGGCCCTACGTCCATATCCTTATGTATGTCCCTAAGGATGAATCCTTTTCAGGACTGGCTCTTCTGTTTGCCTTGTAGATGTGACCAAATGACGCACAAAGTTAAAGACCTTATTTTGCACAGGATTTTAGACCTCAGGTCCTGCAATAAGATCAGTTGTGGGTCTTTAGATCTTCCACAGTTGCACACTGGAATCAACTGTGGTGCTTTCTGCTTCTTGGCTGTTGAGACTGTTGACCCTGTTAGAGCACGGGAACTCCTACCTTGGCCAGAGGAACCTAAGCTCACTCCAGCTTTTATATCCACCCCCTTGTCTCACCCCAGTGGAAATGTGGGCAGTTATACGCATTTAGTCCCAAACAATAATAAATGCCTGTGGATTCCCTGATCTACAAGTATCTTGCGAGTGCAGGGTGCCAACTCTAAATCCCTAAATTATACTGTTTTCACTGGAACACCTAGCAAATCCATGTTTCTGCATTTTATGTGTACTTGTTGAGCTTCAAGTATACGCTTTTACGTAATAGCTTTTAAGCTGAAGAATAGTTGTGAAATGTAAAGCGGTATATCTGAGGACTCACAGAAAGCATCTGCAACATGAACTGATTTCCACAGTCATGCACTGTCCCCTCCTCAACGATCCTGGCAGCAGAGTCAGTCTTTTCCCATGACAGCTCTGAAGAGTTTTTCAGCCCACAAATCCAGTATTGTGCTTCACTCCCCCATGGCCACATCTGTACTAATAAATTAAACACCGTCAATCACTGTCACTTCTGAGGCCAACAGGCCCGAGACTGCCTGCTTCCATTGCTAGCAAACCTTTCTACGTCCCAAAATGGGGCGGTTGCATCCAAAGTGCCTGTTGGGAGTTACTTGTGGTTGATAATCATTCCCAGACAGCAGCCAGAAGTTGTTTGGGAAAGTGCTATTTGGAACAAGTCAAATTTATTCCAGGAACTGTTACCACAACATAGATGACTGAGTTCCCATACTGAGGGTATTGCCTGGTACTATTAAATGTACCAGTATGGGAGTAGCCTATTTTAATTAGCAGAGCAAAAGGCTCATTCCCAGCAGCCTAATGGGAAATAGGGCTACCAAGAAAGACAAATTACCCTCATAAGATCACTCCAGCTTAACCAGCGCTTCTGAATGTCTCTCTTCCATTCAGCTTGGTGCTTAGGGGCAGTCAGAGCTCAGGATAGCAGCCTGTTAGGAGGGTGCCATCTTCTTGGTTTGTCTAAATTTTGGATCTCCTTTTGCCTAGCTATTTTTGAAGGGTATCAGGATGCTGCTGTATTCAAATTAATTTCTTAAGCTTATGCTTTTCTTTCCTTAATATTAATTAATTTGGAGGAACACATTTTATTAGCTTCTTTGATTGCCATTGAAGTTTTAGGAAATGAGTGAGATGTTACTCCAACTGTCTGAATGTGGAGCACCTATGGACACTTTGAAATGCTGATTTCCTTCTGGAGATAATGCTTTCCTCTCTAGAACATTAATTGAACTGTCATCTCTCTGACTTCCCCCTTTCCCTGCAGCATGGCTTATGCTATGCTCTGCATTGTTATGACTTTAGGTTTAATATTATGAAAAATACCATTCAGACAATATTTTGACAGTCTGGCAACTGCAGATGCGTTGCTGGGTTGCCATAGAGATGTTACACAACAAATTAACATATATGACTGAATTGGCTGAGTTTTTTCTATAGTCAGGTTCGGAAATTTGAGTCCCTTTCTTATGATAAGGATGTTTCATTAATGTATTATTCAATTTGGTGTAGTAGGGTTTTTTTCTGTATTCAAAGGCAGTACACAGCCTTGCTGAGAAATTTCATTTGCTTCCACTCTTTTAATCATCTTTTCTAATAGCAAAATGGAGTTAGCTTTTCATATCAGTGTGCTGATCCAGGAAATGCAGTGTCTTAACCCTCCACCCCATTTTTATGCAAATAACAAGAACTTCCACATAACCCATGTCATTCTTTTGCCATCTATAAGGAATTAGGATATTCAGGTATACTCCTACGTTGCCAGATATTTCTTTGCAGAGCTTCAACCTTCTCAAATATATTCCAGACTTTCTGTAGGAGTTCTTAGTCTTTCTGGTGTAGAAATAAATTGTTACTTTAGCAGTTTTAGCACAGGTAGAGAAACACAAAATCTGCAATTTAAAACTTCAAGTTCCCCAAATTATCCTGTGCAATCTCACTGCTCAACCACTCATCTTCCATGGAAAAAATATGTGTGCTTAATGCTTGGGTGAGAAGACTATTAATTTATTTAACCTTGATATACAAGTGCTTCATAGATCAGGGAATCTTATGTTTCACTTGGTCCTTTCTGTATTGCATGTTGGCTGAGGTCCATGTTAACTGCCCAGGTAATGAAGGAAAGGGAGTGAACTGGGAATGCTGGGACTCTAAAAGCACGGCTTGCTACAGCTTGAGCAAGTACCCTGCACCTGAAGTGGTAACTTGGTTTTGTATTGTGTAGGGTAGCAGAGAAAAACTTGCGGGTTCTTGTTCTTTTTCCCCACTTCTCATCAATTTAACCACTGACCAGCAGGACATTTTCCAAAGTTGCAGCTACTCACCGTTTCAGATCATGGAGTGAAAGACAAAACCGCACTTGTTAGTCTGTTTCACCAGTTAGTCATCATCACTCTTTGACAGCCAAGGCTTTTTCTCCAAGGTTAAGTAGCTGTCTTTGGTAGCAGCATCTTCTCCCCCACAGAGCTAGCTGGCTGCCCTCTTTGCAGAGTAAATCTTTGTGTTGAATGCCTCTTGAAGCACTCTTTCTGCTCTCACTTCAGTACTTTTATGCTTTCCAAAGCTGTACACAGAAATAAAATTGCCTCTTTCCACTAATTCTATTCCTTTGAGCGAGCAAATACTTGAACAGATATGCCTGGAACTGCAGGTTAGGAAACTGATTCCTGATCGCAGTATTGTTCTTACCATTTGTTTATGTTGCTGCTTGTGACTTTGTTTAACTGTACTTGGTTGAAACTGTGAGCAAAGCAATGCTACTTTGAAAATCTGACTTATAAAGGATGAAATTGGAAAAATAAAATTGTCCTTGCCAGAATAAGAAATGATGATGTTGTGCAGTTCTGCTTCAACTGAAGACAAGTATTTTTTTTCAATGCTACAAAATGCTTCGAAGTCTTTCTGCTTGATGAAGTAATCTGTTGTAAGGCTGCATTGTGTTAACTATGAAGGAAAATTGTTTAAAATAAGCTTTTAAATTATTTATCTGAGATTTATGAAGCTGGTAGAAGGATTTGCAACAATTCAGTGAAGCAGTTGCATCCTGATGAAGTCCAATGGTATGCAGGTCTGTGTTTTAGGAGCTTCACAATAAAGAAAGCGAGCATAGTCACTGTAGATCCCAAATACGCAAATGACAATAATTGTTTGCTTAAAAATTCCTCCCAGCAAACATCTGTCCACAATATAGGTTCTTTATCCTCTGTCCCATTTCATTCTGTCTGTCTCCGTAACCTTTTGTTCCACCTGTGATGTTTTCCAGCAGTCACATGATAAAACGTCTAGGCTAGATTCCAAGGGTGGAATAAAAAGCTGTATTTGTTTTTATGGAAGCACTAACAATTCTATTTGGATTGGATTTCTTCATAGCAAAACCAATGAATTATTGAACAGATTGGACTTGGGTTTGCCAAAGAGTGATTCCTGTCAGATTGCTAATCGTGGCCCGGAATCTACAGCATGGGTAAGCAAAACCGTAGCACATGCTATATTTTCCATCAGCCTTCCAGGTGCTGTCAATAGTGTAATATTAGAATATTCTAATTGAGCTTAATTGTCTAGACATAACTCAGTGAGTACCAAGGAGTGTTTCTGGGTGAATGAGATTGCTTACATTGTCTCTGTCATATTGGCAGAGTATCCTACATAGTAGGGGACTGCCTTTATTACTCACAGATCTCTCTCTGATAAATGAGACCCAGATTTATATTCTAAGGTCAGATGAGAATCTTAAATGTGCTCTGTATTCACCAGTTGGTGGCAAACTTTTCTGAAATCTCAACTAGTTCATGTCAGTGGATGCTTTGCTGCATTAAAAATTTAGTCAGAAGAGGAGCTTATTTCTCACTGCATCCTAAAAGTGATTCCATAGACTGCTTGGGGACTTTGCCCCAGTTTGAATAAGCCTGGTAAATACCAATGTAATTAGGGAATAGACAAAGTATTGCTTAAGTTTCATTATTCTAATTGTCTCAAAAAGGCTTTTCCACATATGATCAGTCTCTTCATGTCTAAACCAAGCTTTCCTACTGATGTAAAAACTTGCAGTGAGGAATATTAACCCTGAGACAGAAGCATTTCTCCTTTAGTGAAGTTTGTATTTGGGGGAAGAAAGAAAGCAGGCACTCCAATGGACAGAAATTGTTACAAGCAATAGCCCTTAGTCAGCAGAAACTCAGAATTATGCAATCAGGGCAGCCCTTTGTTGTATACAACTTTGAACACCAAGAGCTGTGTAAAGACAGGGGAAGATTTACCTCCATATTTCCTCAGAAGCCTTGGAAATGTGCAAGACCCTTCCGTTACAGAGACTGTAACAATATACGACAGCTCTGTCTTGCTTCTAGTATCTCTTCCTAGTTTTCGTTGCATGAAAAGGGAAGGTGATACTGAAAATAGGCTCCTTTCCCCTTTGATTCCTCAGGTCATTTTGTGTCTCCGAAAACCCTAAAGAAATCTTAGTGTATGTGGGCAGATACGTAGCCTGAAGGAGCCAACTTCCACCCAGCAACGCTGGGCAGGTGGTCATTTGCAGGAGAGTGGCTTTCTGGCTGTCTTTTGTAGTCCTGGGTGGACAAGCAAGAGGGACTATGGGAAGGGAAAAAAGATGTCTTGAAACCACTTCTACTTCCCTCTTGAAGCATCTGACGCTCCAAACAGTGGGAAGCTTGTTCTTTAGTAGGGCAGACCCAGCTCTGCAGCTTTTCGTATAGTGTGAACATTGAACTGTGAAGACAAGTGAGCTCATGTCCCCAGGACTGACTTGGATTTCAGCATTTAAGTGTGGTGTCTTCATATCTGTACAGAACTGGGTGGATGTCTGAAGGAACACTGAATTCTTTCAGACATACTGTGAGCCTTTGCCTTCTATTTCAACTACCTATGTGTGCCTTTCTCGTTTCAGTTTTTGAGTGGTTTCTTAATAAGTTATGCCAAATTACATGCTATAGTTCATCTTTGGCTTCACCAGCATCCAAGCAGACAAAATACACAGTTTATCTGTGCTGGGTTTTATTATTATCAGCTGATGTTATACATGTCTTTTGTGTGGCAGCATTTCTATAGCTTTGCGAATCAATTCATCACTTGCTTATAATGCAGCAATGCAGTTAGCAAAATGTCTTCCCAAGCAATTTGGATGAGGTACAATCTATAGGCATATGCCCAGCCTTTGTGCTTTGTGTGAGGAATCTGAAGCACATAACCAATGAGTTGTTATCTAAATAAATTTGGCATAGTACCAAAATGCTAAACCAGTGGGAAAACTTGAACTCTAATTTTGATGCTATCTTGGACCTGTGCTTTGTCTGGAGTAATTAAAAGATTCAGGAACAATGCATTTGAAATAGCGAAGTGTGATAAGCTTAGGAAGTGCCTGACATGCATGTTAAAAGGGGGCATATATATATGTGATTTTTTAAATTTAAAATTCACCTTCTCAAAAAAGTTTGGAACAATGTAACGTTGATGAAATTATTTCCCTCACATCATTTCTTTGATAGTGATATTAATTTAGCACACCTAGTTCGAATCTCAGTGTCAAATATTACTTGATGTGCGTGAACAAATTTGACTTCTTTGGAGTGACTCTGTCATTGATGACTTTTTTGGCTCACTTATTTAATCAAGCTCATAATTAATTTTAATCCTGTCTTTCAAAGTGTTACCAACCCTGTGTAGATTTTTACTGTCTTCCAACTTGATTAACATACACTCCACACAATTCTCCAAGCCATTATGGAGAGTAATGAATAATATTGGACACAGAATGAGTCTCCCTGGACACATGTAACAACTCCTCCCAACTCAAAATTGAGCTATTAATAATTGCTTTCTCTATTTAGTCTTTTTACCAAATGATGTGCCTGTCGTTTTAATGGTGTCATTCTGTACGCATATATCAAGTTTCGAGAACATTGTGTAGACCTGCAACAAATTCCTCACTAAAGCCAAGCCTACACACTCCTCATTTCAAATTATACTGGCTCATTATTTAGTGTGCTACATTATGTACCTGCTCAAAGACTTTACAGTTAAGTTCCTATGTGTAAGATCTAAAATTCCTATAAGATCCTAATGGTAGCCTGGCTCTTTGATGACAACTACAACTTGTGAAAGACCAGGGCTAGTTATTGTAATGAAAACCCACAGAGTTGAATACTTTATTCATTATGTGTAGTTCAGATTTTTGGTTCTCTAGACCACAGATAATTCAGCAGCCTTGATCTTTCAGCTTCTGTCACCCTATCTCCAGAAATGCCTTCCAGTACTCCTGTGGAAATAATACTGGGTTGCCCTCTGCTACCACACGCCCTTCTGCTTTGTTATCTTGGTAATATTTTCAGTACTTTTCTTTCTTCCCAGAATACCCCACCTCACTATCATATATCCTGACTGTGTTTTCTCGCAAAAATCTCAGGGAATCTTTATGCTTGTCACTGGGACACAGAATAGTATGTGCTGTGGCTGCCTGGTTGTGATGTGCAGATGGACATTCAGCTAAATCAAATGACTGAGAAGCTTTAGACTACTTCTTGTTTAAATTCTAGTCTTGAGACTAATCTATTTTTTGAGTAACTGGAATCATTCAACCATTTCTGTTTTGTTAATTACCTGTATAAAGATTTGGGAATAAGGTTTGGGATTTTGGTCCCCCCCTTTCCCCACACCAATATGTTTGTATTCTCTGCTGAACAATAGTCTAGGAGCCATACTTATAAGCAAGCTCTTCGAGAGGACAAAACCAGAAGATTAGAGGAAATGAAGCAAGAACAACGGAGGAAGGTAATTGTACATTAATAGTTTGCATATTGTATCATTTTTGCATGCTGTGAAACCAATTAAATACATTGATTACTTGTAGCCTACGCACTGAGTTTCTCTTTAGCAAAAGTGATTTAGTCACTGTTTTCAAATACTGTGAGAGAGATGAGCCAAGCTGTAAAATTTGGACACGGACAGCACAATTATCTTCTGGGTTCAAGGCTGTTTGCATCTGGATGACTAGCTCCTGCTCGCCTCTTCATTTGAACAATTGTGCAGAGCGTTTTTTGACCATGGTACCCAATTTCATAGGCTTAGGAAACCAATTTCCTTTCTTTCAGGCAGAAGTAATCTTACTGAGATATTTGTGATGATCTCAGACTCTAAATAGTCTCTTTCTAGAGAATGGAGGCCTGTGTGCCCTACCTCCCCAAATGGGGAGGTGGAAGCACTCAGATTTGCTGTTAGGCCTGTGTGCTTCTCAGTTCCATTGCTAACCACCTAAATGAAGAGTTTGGAATTGTCTAAAAAGCAGGCATGCTGTAACTGCATGTTTGAACTCCATCTTCTGAAATGCATCTGAACCACTGTAGTCCCTCTGGCATGGATCTGCGTACCATATCCACATAAAGTTCATCTACACGAGATGATAGCACTGTGCTGTGTTGTCTCTCTTGGCTCCAGGTCTGACCATGCAAGTATGGGGAGGGTGTCATTGACTGCAAATCGTTTGAAAACCTATTAGCAAATACTGAGCCTCTTGCTATGCCTCTGCTGTTACTAACGTCCAAATTAACGTTAAACTACTTCCCGAGAAGCAGAATCTTAGCGCAACAAATTCCATGCAGTGAGTTTCTACTAGACCTGGACAAGTGACTCACACCCTCACCCTCCCCGCATATCTTTCTTTAAGTGTTGGGGATAAGTGTCCTTATTTCATAGTATCCTAGCAAGCAGGATGCTGGAGACAAAAAGGTGGGGGAAAGGAGGCTCTTAACTGTGGAGGTTGTGGAGTCTCCCACTCTGGAGACATTCAAAACCCACCTGGACGCTGTCCTGTGCAACCTGCTGTAGGTGTCCCTGCTCTGGTGGGGGCGTTGGAGTAGATGATCTCCAGAGGTGCCTTCCAACCCTGACCATTCTGTGATTCTGTAATTGCTTTCCCGTTAGGTATATGCTTATTTGCAGGAACTAGACAGAAGAAAATTCTTTGAAAGCTAGTCCTGACAGGTGTAAGGCCTGTAGCTGTTGTATTTTTTACATTTATTCCTCCATAGAGAAAATAACTAAAGATGTGAATTAGCATGCACCTAGTTTATGAATTTGATTTAAGGGACTCGAGTAGAGCTTTAGACTCTTTACAGATTTCCACAGATTGCTAAGAAGGTGTTGGCTGCTTCTAAGGCTGCTCTTTCTTGGTACACAGTTCCAAGCACTCCTTGCCTTCACAGTCGCTGCTATCTATTGTGCAGAGTAATGCACTACTTACAAACCTACTGTAAATAGTATGTATTTTAAAGGCTCCAATAATTGTCCCTCAGATATATGTTGGCTTGTTTCTACTTCAAACTGATATTTATTAAAGTAATTGTGAATTCTGTCTTGTGTGTACCTGCTAGCACAGTGTAGCTATAAAACGTATAGGTACTGTCATTTTCCTTTTTTTTTCTGAACAGGTTTTAGTATGTATTGCTTGATTTAGAAATTTTCAGTACGCTTTGAACACTGCATCATATACACACAATATATTTCAGAACATTACTCCAAGAGAGGACTCAGCATATTGGAAAGTCAGATACTGGGTTTTAATTTTCAGGTTGAATAGTTATTTAAAACAGTGAAAATTAAGGTTGGCTTTTTTATTTCTTAATCCTGTTTCTTCTTTTAAGGCTAGACAAATATTGATACACAGCACATTCGCACTTATTGATTTTCTTCATACATTTATTGCGTAGTTTTTATTTAATGTTCCACTTAAATTGATTTTTTTAAAAGAACTTTTGTGGTTCCATTCAGTTATTGAAGCTTTTATCTAACCGCATCATTTTATTTTAGTTCCTATTCCTACTGCTGCTCAGTTGCTATGGAAAATATGAAAGATGGGTTGGTTCCTATCCCTTCCCTCTCGCCCTGCAAACCAAATTTTCTTTGCAGAAAAATCTGCATCTTCAATTCTTAGGTGCATTGCAGGGAGCAAGAGCCAGATAAACAAGTACACATGCAAAGCAGAGTCACTCAGGCTGTGTTGCCTTCGCAGTCCCGGCTGAAACTGCATAAGCAAAATCTCCTCTGAAAGGAATTCCCTTTGACACTGTTTCTGAACCTTAACCTTATGTAATGTGAGGATGGTAGGCTGCTGCAACTCTGGGAGCTTGCACATGCTTTCACCACACCAAGAGGTACCATTTGCTCCTCCCTCACCCTTGGAGAGAGATGGAGGTCACACACCCCACCACCTACTCCCGTTCTTGTCTTCTCCTTGCCCTCCATGGAGGCAGGAGGCGAAGGGCATGATTCCTTCATACCCTCCGGGCGTGATGGCTGTGTCTGCTCCTGCTAGATTACTTCAGCTGTCTTTCCCCTTGGACCCCCAGGGAAATTTCAACCAGTGGGTTGGGGCGAGGGGAAGCAGACTGGTGTATGGCATACAAACACCTTTAAATGTAGGACTGTAAATGTCTAAATCTTGTAACTTCCCAGTTTTTAAGGCACAAACAAAATTCATGCAGTGTGATGCTGAACAGAAAAACGAGCTCAGTTTTTAACATAGTGCTGTCACATAAACCAAATGCTGTTGAGAGAAGTTCTGGGAATGACACGTGGCTATGGCTGAAGTTAACACCATGTGGAATTAATTGGGTTTGCAACATAGGTATGTTAATTAAAAGTAAGTTCATTGTTTTGTTTGGTTTCTTTTTTTTTACTTTTATCATTCCCAGGCTGAATTAATGGAATTTAAACAAAAGCAGGAAGAGGAAGCCAGGACAAGAGCACATCAAAACGAACAGAGGAGGTATGATGCAAAAATGTAGAATACACTTCAATTAAATTCCTATCTGGAAAGGCTCTCAAAATTGCAGGCATTCATGCTTTAGAAGACAATTGCAATGAGGATCCCTGACCTCACCTCTGGTTTAACTTTGCCTGCAAATGAGCCACTAATATCCATCATTACAGCTGCTCACTGTAGTGCAGTATGATACAGAGTGCCTTTTTCACTTTATTTATCCTGTCAGCGTAGGATACAGCATAGGGTAGAAACTATTAGTAGTTTTGTGGGTAACTACTAGTACCGTAGTTTCCGCTGGGAAGCATTTTATGTATGTATGTATCTATCTATCTATTTAATTTTACTTTAGTTTAGAATGGGCTACTTTGTCCATGCCATATTTTGTGGTTGACTGTCACTGAGGTTAACGGGCAGAACTAAACATGGGATTTGACATCGATAGAGATAGAAGCTGCAGTGTAGCAAAGCCTTCTGCAGCTGCATTGCTGCGCGCCCCAGGCTGTGCCCCACTGCTGTGCTCTCTCTGTGTGCAGCAGTTCTAATCTTGCACTTCTGTCACTTAGCTGACTTTCCATTATCTTGAAGCACAGCTTTATTCTCAGCTTTGCTTTCTGCTGGTAAAAAGAAACAATGCTCAGGCTCAAAAATAAAAACACCGTTTGTTTATTTTTTTTATATCATTAGGGAAGTATAAATAAAATTACTTCCATAGGCAACCACTCTCCGTACTGCTTTCATTTTTTTTTTCTCTAGTAAAGATATTGAGATAATTACCCATAGAAGTTAATGAAGGATTTTCGATTCAGTCCATCTCATGTCCCTAGATAGAAATAATCCAGTATCTTGCATTTTACATCATTCTTACCAATAGCATTGTAAAACATTAAAACAACAGTCATGTCTAAGCATGTGTATCAGTCCTAAGCATTAATGGGGGTGAAAAAGAAACAGTTTTCAGAAGGTTTGAAAATCACATTGGGGAAAAGTGTGTTTGTATGTGTGCATGCTTTCCAGATTGATAAAGTGATACAAGAAAATACTAGAGTTGATTTCAGAGCTGGATGGGAGGGAAAGTTGTCAGCTACACAAATTGTCTCTATTAGTAACAAGCTTAAATGGATTTTTTTCATTGGCATTAGGAAATCAGTACTTCTAGAAACTGTCCTTGTGCACTGAAGGCTGAAAGACTACCTAAGGTGAACTGTCAAAATAGCTCATCTCCCTGATAAGGTGGGTGGTGGTATGCAGGTCGTCTTTCTACGGAGAATTTTGGTGCATTTCTCATAGCAGCCAAGGTATTCCTTTTAATCACAACAGACTGATCACAGGATAAGGTGCACCTAGTGAACTGAAAATGAAATCTACCCTATCTCATGCCAGTGCATGGTTACTCAGCACAGGCTTCAAAAAACATAGGAAGATGGGTATTGAGCTGAAACTAGGGAAAGCCACTCACAGAATGTTAAAATTCAAAAGCTTTTGAATTCCTCAGCTACCTTCAATGACTGTTTGGTTTCTTTGTTGTATTTAAGGGTAAATAATGCTTTCCTGGACCGACTCCAGAACAAAACACAACCTAATAGCGTCTACCAACCCTCGTATTCTGGGAGTCTGGACTACCTCAGTAACGGCGCCTGGGTAAGCTTTTTGGGTACAGAACCTGAAAGCAATGGGATTGTTTAAAAGTTGACTTTTTTGCCAGACACTATTATTTGTCTGTGTGCGTTTAGCCTGCCTGACAGAGCCTACAGTCCTGGCTAGCTGCCTACAATAGCTTTTAAGAGAAAATCCTGTCTTAAATCTATAAGCTGTTCAAATGGGAGGGAGGAACAGCTGCTCTTGCAGCAGAACTCGGTTGCTTTGCATGCAAGGTACTTACCGCAAGGAACTGCATCCTAGGTACTTTCTTAAGTTCAGAACAAGGGTGGTGAAATTGTAAGGGATGTTTTGAAAGTCTTTAAATAAAAGGTGTTTGGAAATGCTGTAAATATTTTAATATGATATTGAAAGTGGAGGGAAAAAAATCCCATGAAAGGTACAGCTGTTCATTTTTTACCCGTATAAAATCACGACAAAGAAGACCCAATTGCGTCCAATTTAAATATACATAGTATATTTAAGGATTCTTTGAAGAAAATATATCTTGACTGTAGCCTATTAAACAACCATTAAATCTTTTCAGCTGTCCTAATGAGGCATTAATGTGACTGTTATTTAGAATTGCACTTTTCAGTGTTAAAAAAAAAAAAATCCGTATCATTCCCATCATGGAAATTTCCATTAGGTTGAAATTCCACTGCTGAGAGGACCATTGTGCAGAAATGGAAGATTTACAAAGACTGAGCAGAAAAAGGATGAGAGTCTAAGATAATTTAGTGAATGTGCTAGTGTAGAGAAAGATGTTTAGCTGATAACCAGAAAAGCTTGAATGGGATTAACTGGGCCGTCTGGTGCGGATGTGTATCTTGGCAGACGGATGCCAGGAAGTCTTGGGTGCAAGCATCTGCGAAGTTAAGACAGGATAAAGAAGCAGATATTCTTGCTGCTGGAGTTTTCCAGGTACTGGAACAGGAAAAAAGAGTGTCTTAATCACTACAAGCTTTGGGCAAGCCGTGGGCAATGGCAGAGGGCTCAGGAACCTCAGACTGAGGCTGTCTTTGTGTGTAGCAATTCTCTTGGTCTTGCTGAGAGGAGGCAGAACCTGCCAGCTCAACCTCCCATAAGGTCTGCGGGCAGCTGCTTGGAGAACCAGCTGGTTAGGGGCTTTACTGGTAGGGCCTGAACGGTCTCCTGAAGGATGGCTTGTCTGCAGATAGCAGAATTAGAGACTTCAGGTAGGACAGAGCCAACTAATACCTAGTAAGAGGTGAAACGTAATGTCTGCTGGATGGGGCCAGATTAACAAAGGCAGCAAGGGCAGAAATCATTCTTTTTATTTCACTTTGTGTCCTTTATCCCAATTTGTAAACTCTTTCCTGATAAACTCGAAAGAAGGCCTGTGACACTGCCAAGATCCCCAGTATCTAAACTCGAGCATCTCCATCAGAGAGCCTGCTGTCAGCACTGAAAACCTTGCTATTGTCTGCAGAGGGAGTGGGGTTTTGCCTTAAGCCAGATGCCATATGTCCTCTTCCATAGGGCAGGTGTTGGTACCACCAAACAAGTGCACTCAGCCCAGGCACAATTTTAACAACAGACGGCTCTGTGACATATGCAGCCAATCTATGCTTTTTTAAAAATAGATATATTCAAAGAATGCATCAACACAAATGCAATAAAACCCTGTGTGTAGAAGTGATAAATTTCCTACTCTGACGTTTACTTAATGGCTCCCAAGGAGCCTGCCTTCTGGTGGGTAATGCTAGATTATCCATTTTTCCTTTATGCTATGATGTGAGATTAGAAGAATAAACAAAGCGGAGAAAGAATAAACTATGAAAGGATATGTAATCATTGAAAGGGATTAAAAATTAGTATTGGTAACAGAAGCAAGAAAGAAAAATGTCTCTCAAAAATAGGCTGGAGGCTGCAACCTCAGTGTCTTTGATTTTACCAAAAGTCTTCTCCCTTCCCTTGGGATTTTCAGCAAAAATGTTGAACTCCAGGTGAGGCATACAATTCATGTAGTCTGCAGCGTGGTGTTTTACATTACAAGGGAGCTAACAGAAGCAGGTCAGACTATATACTAAGATTAAAAGAAATGAAAAAGGTTCCCAAAGTTAAGACCTGCAGGTAATTTTTGAGCCTGCTCCTTCTGTGCTGTGGCACCAAAGAAGAAATATTTGTTCTTTTTACTACTTCTTTTTTTTTCCTGTTTAAACTCTTTCCAGTCACAATGGCTTCACACTTACAGAAAGTGAACATCGCACCATGTTATCGATTTATCTGCTGTATTTTGCATTCTTATTTCTATTAGCCTGGTTTCCTAAGGAATTGAAGTTTGTATGATCACGCTGTCTGTCTACGTGTAATAAGTTTTTCAGCCTGATGGCCAATCTTAGCCCAATTTGAAAGGGAGTATAAGTATCAAAGATAATTAAGTTTGTATGCATTTCATGAAAAGCAATGGTTGGGCAGAGGAGAGACCCCTCTGAGGGACGGTGGGAAGGACCTGGGCACTCCGTGCGTTGACTGGCTGCAGCCCTCCAGCCGATCAGCGTGGGCACAGCTCTAGAGCAGCTTCAGCTCTGCCCTGCTTTCCTGGGGACTAGGAGAGGCAAAAGGGGACATGGATATCCCAGGGGACATGGAGAGGAGGGCAGGAAGGCAAATTTATTGTTTATGTCTGGGCAGGGGGGAGGAAAGCAGTTGTGTTGCCCAGTTGTCCCCTAATAGATAGGAAACCAGTTTTCATTAATTCGTCTGCCCTCCAGACATCTTGTGTTTCGTTAGGAATATTTATAAGCTGTTATTTCAAGAAGTATCTACATGAAAGTAATCTTTTCTCCATTTTTGGTTATAAATGCCAGGGTGCTCTCTGGGTGGTTGTGTGGTTTCCTTTTTTAATGGGAAGACAAATTAATGAATTTCCATTTCTCTCTGTGAGCTACTGCACCCTTGAGAGAGCATTGAGTCTTGATGTATGCTATCAAGAAAGTTTTGATGTCCTTTGGGCTGCCATTGTCTCTAACATAAGGATAAACCTTTTAGGATAGGAGGGTAAAAAAATAACAGTTGTCATTTTGACATCAAAGTATAATCAGTAAGATGTAATCCTTACTCAGCGGGGACCTATGGCTGAGACAGTGTCTGTTCACTGTAATGGCACAAATGATCAGTTTTATTTAAATATTAAAGAATTTCTATTTTTACAAAACAATAACTTAAAAGCAGTTGCACATTTTTATATTCACTCCCTTATGAGACCTGTCCCATGTTCAAGTACGGAGGGATTTGCAGAGGCCAAATGCTAATGCATGGCAAGACTGAAACAAAGCCCTTATTTATTTTTTGTGTGGAAATGGAATGCTGTCAAGGACCCTTTTGTCTATTAATGGGGAGAGGTCACATGGTGAATAGATGAAATTTATATGTCTGCTCTTCTTTAATGAAATACTAGTTGTCTTGTTGAAACTCTCTGAGCTATAGTAGAGTGTGGAAGACAACATGACATATTACACCTTCCAGTTTTATGTCTCCATTACACGTGGTGTCATGCATAAGAATGAGAAATTCTCTCTTGGATGCTGACTCTGCTCTTTCAGTGGATGCATAATTCTAGATATTTGTTGTGGGAAACAACTGTGCCCTGAACACGCAGGTCCAGTGTGACAGGAAACCACATTCTTTTCCTTTCCCATATGCAGAACAGGAACTCGATGGATGCTGGATAAATCTGTTTTGAAGAAACAAGATTTATGGATAAAACTATTTTAAATAAACATGGTTTGTGGGTTAGGACGTGCTTTAGTTCTTGCAGCATGATCCATGGGAATGTTTCTTTGGAGTCTCAACTCTCATTTGATTTGCTACCAATTTGAGCGGCAGCATGTCATGAAGTTTACTGTTGCACAGCAAAGAAGAACCATAGCTCAAAGGTCCCTGAAGTTACAGGACCAGCATGCATGCCACAGTTTTCCATACACAATCAGTCTTTAATGTAGACTTATATGAACTTTCAGATGGATAAAGTTGCACTGAAAATGCTAGTTTCCCAGCACAAAGAAAAAGCTTTTATTTAACATGGCAAATTGAGAATAGAATATTTATATGAAAAGGTTCCAGGGTGCAATCCACAATGGTTACGTTTGTTTTAATAAAGAATGTGGTTTGCTAAATTAGCTTTAACCTGGTTAGTTTACATACAATCTGAACTGCAAAGATTAATAATTTTTTTTCCTAAAACTGGTTCTTTTGTTTTGTTTTGTTTTTTTATTGAGAGTAGTGTGCTTGTCTTTCTTGGCAGAAGGATGGCAGGAAATAAATAAACTACTCAGAAGAAGTATCAGCATCGATATTGGAACCTTAGATGAGTAGGTCTAGTCATGCTGTAGCTGAGTTTAATGACTTCCCTTTGACAAGGTAGTCAAACAGCATATGCAGATGTGTTCTGCTTGGCTTGACTTTGAGCTCAATCCTTCTTTGCTTTGAAAATCTCATCCTAAAAGAGAATAGCGGGAGTCTGAGGAGGAGTGGAAGAGACTTTTCACTCTTTCAAATTGTGTGAGATCAAGAAAGGAGGCATCTGAAGATGTTGGGAACACTTCTAGATTGATTTTTTCCAGCAAAGACAAGTTTATCTCCTGAGTCAATACGCCCTGCTATTCATATTGAGTTCAAATTGAAGAAATATTTATTGCTAGAACTGGAATCTTGCAGAAGGGTTTACTTGTTACGTTAAGTGGAGTTTCAAAAGACAGGAAAGGGCACCGAGTAATCAAGAAAGTTCCACACAGCTGGATAACCATCATTCCTAGCATAGATATATGATTGTACTGTACATTGTACTGTACTAACGCATTTTTTTCTTTTATCCAGGAGTCAAACTACTTGGAATAAAGGAGGATAAAGGTAAGAATAATGAATTTGTTCATTCTTTTTAGTACCAATGCTGGTGTTGATTTAGCTTCGTATTTGGCATTTCATTATGACAGCTTATGTGGTTTAATTCTCAAGTGATATGAGAGGGGATCTTAAAATAAATGCTTTCCAACTCTGGGTTTGGGGCTAGGCAATGGCACATACATATTCTGAAACATGTTCTTGTAAAGAACTGCAGAATGTGTATTTCAAGTCAGAGGAAGTGCTGATGGCACGGAAGGCATCTGTTGGGGCTGCCTTGATATTTAGTGCTAAAACCTCAATACACTCTGTGTTGTGGACTGTGAGTGGATAAACCTGGACAGGTGAGGAATGTGGCTGGAAATGCCCGAGGCAACTCTGCAAACTTTCAGTGGTTTTAAGTGAAAGACTTTGTCATGGGCTGTATTCTCCCTGCTATTTCCCATAGGAAAAACAGGAGACTATTTGTATCAGTGGAGGCTGTCAGTAAAAGACCACCAATGAATCAGAGAAATCAGGCCCTCTGTTTTCAAATTGATGTTTCATAAGTCTCACTGCACCTATGTTCTTTTCTGAAAGTGGTTCCCTACCCTAATTCCCTGTTCCAGTGTAAAGATTTGTGCAGAAGAGAAGGCTCCGGGGAGATCTTATTGCGGCCTTCCAGTATCTAAAGAGGGCCTACAGGAGAGCTGGGGAGGGACTTTGTACTAGGGCACGTAGTGATAGGATGAGGGGGAATGGCTTTAAACTGGAAGAGGGCAGGTTTAGATTAAACATTAGGAAGAAATTTTTTACTTTGAGATTTGTAAGGCACTGGAACAGGTTGCCCAGAGTGGTTGTTGAGGCCCCATCCCTGGAGGTGTTCAAGGCCAGGCTGGATGTGTCCTTGGGCAACCTGGTCTAGTGGGAGGTGTCCCTGTCTATGGCAGGGGGGTTGGAACTCGATGATCTTCAAGATCCCTTCCAACCTAAACCATTCTATGATTCTAGGCTTGAAGACTTGTGAAGCAAGTTCAGGTACTGACACACATTATTCTTGCTTTTGGAGATGGTTTTGACATAACTTTTTGAGGGCTAGGATCTCATAAAGAGGAATTTTTTAAAAATCAAACTTAATAAAGCCCCTTGCTTTAAACTCTTCTCCCACAAATGCAGATATTCTGTGACTTTCTTCTTCATTTTCTGCTGCAGCAATTATTTTAGTATTTTTGCAGCAGGGTTGTGTTCTGAAGACAGTATCTAAATAATATTGTTGGCCTCCCATGAGTCATCTTTTCAGTTTTGTGAGGAGTAAAATTGTTATTAAAAATTAACTGCAAATTCACTAAAGAAATGACAATGAGTAGATAAAGGCAGTTCCCCATAGGGGAAGAAATCACCATCTTTTGCAGCCCACAATATTATTAGGTTCTGTAAACTGTGGGCAGCTGAAGGAGTTCAAGCATTGGATTCTTTGTTGTTTTTCACAATATCTACAATACCAATAATATGTTTGCATATGAACTGTACAAGAATTATGGATGGGTGTACTTTTTTAAGCCCTGTTTTACTGTTGTTTGGAAAGAACATTTCAGCTCGCTACATTAATATATTGTTCAAAGAGATATTAATATGTCTGCAGATAATTAGGACATTTTGTGAATTAAATTTACAAAAACATAGAAGTCCCTTCATGAAGGCTTTACATAATTAACAGCTAAAACCTGTCGGAAGAAAAGGGAGACTTTATTTTCCAGTGGACTTAATCCTAGAGAAGTTGACTTTGATTTTTTGTTTTTGCTGCAAAAGATAATTTTTAATTCTGTTTTCTCCCTCTTGTTGCAGGGTATTGGAGAAGTATTCCCTTTTATCTGGCCTTGGCCAAATGACCTCGTAAAAGCTCCAAGAAAGTGCTCTTTTATCATTGTGATTTTTTTTCTTACCCTGACTTCAGCTTCACACCCACTTCATGAGCTATCTGCAGAGACTGGTTTCTAGCTGTCATTATTCACGCATATTTGAAGCAGCTGATTATGAAGTCCTATTTAATTTTTAATAAGAGAATGTGTCATTTTTTTTTCATAAATTGTTTTGCCTCTTGCAGAATGTAATTATCCTAGTCTTTGGGATCTCAGAACAAGAAGACGTTAGTGACTGCAGAAGCTGCAGTAGTATCTGTGTTTACTTGCTGCTCTGTACCCAGACAAAAACGTCCCAGAATCTTGAACTAAAGAAGCAGGTAGAGGGTTTTCTTTTGGGATGGGAAGGTAAAGTGTTTCTGGTTTGGAGTTTTTTTTGGTTGAAGAAACAGGTGTGTGTGTTGTAGACAGGATCTTTTAAATATGTTCTTCCAAAAATAGAACACATGAAAGAAATAAAACTTGAAATAACACTGAAATGTATTCGATCTCTCTCACATCTTTTGTGATATGATACACGAGTTTTTCACTTTGCTGGTTTTACCTTGGTAACTTCTGTTACTTAAGTGGGGAAAACTACTGCAAGGTTAGCTTTAGTTTCTTTCTTTTCTTTTTACCTCTAGTCTAATGGAATTTAATTTATATCTCACTGTTTCTGCAGATGGCAACATTTTAATACTTTCCAAAGTCAAATGCATGACCAAAGCATTTCTAATGGAAAACAAGGGTCCATAGTACATGTTAAATAAACCATGCAGACAAGAAAAAGTATCTGCGGCATTTACGTCTTCAGCAAAGTTAAAGGTTTCCCGAGTAGTTTTTTTCAGTTTGCGAGCATGCCATGGTATTTTTCCATCACTGTCACAACATGGAAACTTCATAATGGATCACCTCAAGTTTTCGTTTGAACTATGGATGTCTCTTTGTTTGCTTTCCCCTCTGGGAGACTCTGGAGTTTCCCTTGGCTCTATTTGCCTCAGAGAATTACTCAAGTTTCTCATACAACTCGCTAGCTGATGTTAATAGGAAATGCTGGAGATCTTGGTAACGCCTGGTGGTTTAGCCTTTTTTAAAAAGTCTGATACTGGGAAAATTCCTTGGGAAGACTTTTGCATACCTACATAATGGCACTGCATTGCAAGTGGTACTTGGCTGTGCTGTCAGACTGCTGCTTTGGAAATTAAATTCACATCTCCCTCCAAGAACTCCCTCACCCAGCCTCCTTTCCTAGATATCAGGTCTGGGGCTAAATGTCTGCAGAGTGGGATATACATCCATGCGTGCACGTACATTTTAAAGGAAATGTCATTGCTTTAATCAGATCCTTGTATTGTACTCTAATCAGACTAAGACTTGTAGGTGGTCTTTTTGAAGTAGTGAACCTGCAGCCTCTGTACTTGACGTACGATACCGCTAGACCCCATTGACAGAGGCTGAGCAGGAAGGGAAGTCATCATGGTCACTGACAAGTTAAAATTCAGTGTGATCATGTTGCTGTGTTTCTATATCCAAAGGAGAACTTTTTGTTAACCTTCTACTTTCACATTCAGGAACAGCGATGGCAAGTCACCTTGAGTAACCTCTTCCATTAAGCTTGTCTGCCTTCTTTTGGCTGTCTTCAAAGATGAAACTTGATCACAATCTTCAAAGTACTTCCCCTTATCCAGCATTTCAATCTCTTATTTGAAATGCTCTCTACAACCTATTTCAGACATTAACTATTCCAGCCTTTTTTAATGGTGAAGTATCTGAATTTTTCCTCTCCTATCTTTCTGAACAGAACAAACAAATCTATATGAACAGTGGCCCAGGAAGTGTCTTTGAGAGCCATAGCCTGCAATAGAGATGATAAGAAGTTGCACGCATCCACGAATTGATGTTAGTAGGATGGCTGGAAAATGCTGTTCTTATCCTGTTGGAAAGCTTACAGTATCTCAGAACTACCACCTCCTCACACACACATCCTGCCAAAACTTCAAGCTTGAAAGCAAAGGGATGTTATGACATCTCTTTAAAGTGGTTGTAAGGAAATAAACTGGTGATAGACTGGGAAAATGGCTTCATATCTGTTGAGACTTAGGAACTGATAGTTGGGTGTGGTTGTTACCCACCTGTTAGAGTAAAACTTTGATAAAGCTTTTCAAATACAAATAGGTTCCTCTAGTTATAACCTACACCGACCGAATTAATTACCTGTTATGCAGTGATATAAAACCAGATTTTATTACTATATAACAGTAAATTGAGGTTCGTGGGGGTTTTGTTTTGAAAATTGTTGTTGTCTCAATATAATTTGCACTGATGATCTTGCTATTTCAGAAACAAACCTTCCAACAGGGAGTGGTATGGGGCTGGAAGTTACAAGAGGAAACCCCCTTGCTTTTTCATTGCTGAGACAAATTCAACAAACTGACTAAGCCGTTGTGACCACCTATTCTGAATTCTGATACAGCTTGACAGCAAGATTCCTATGTTTAGATTTTTTGGTCTGCCTAAATCAGAAACTGCCTTCCTATGAAGAAATGCAACATTCGTTTAAGGACTTACAAGCTTGATTCTCTGTTATGTACCTAAAAGTTGTTCCCATGGTTTAACTATATATGCTTTTAAAAATATCTGCCTGACTCCTAGTTCAAACTTGCCAAGTTTCAGGTGTCTGTTACTGAATTTTCTTAACCACTTGCCTGGTAAATTAGAGTTTCCTGCTCTTGGGGCTCTTATTTTTTTTCAGTGTGCATATTTGGACAGCTTAATTCAATTTGGAGTCCTTGTTCAGCTTTTATTCTTAAAAATATCTCAGATTTACAGAAAGCCTTAGATGTGGTAGGATTCGGTATAAATGTATCTTCTTTTTAGTATGTGCCCCACTACCAGACACTGAGGCAGAATATTATTAGCTACTAGGAAGGGAGCTAATCCATAACTTACATTTTATGGTACTCATCCATGTTCAATTCACACCTCTGCTTCAAGAAATCCAAATCCCTGTCTTGTGTCTTGGAGAATATTTTAACCACTGGGCTCTTTAGGGTAGATCTCAGCACACAGGCTGTGAAGGCTCTTCTGCTTTATGCAAAAGAAAAGAAATCCATGTGAAGT